TTTTTAGTTTTTTTAAACTATTATTTATTTTTTACTTTTTAGTTTGGTTAATTTATAAAAGCGTGATTTTTTAGTTTTTTTAAACTATTATTTGTTTTGTAGGATTAAAATTCTCATAGGCTATATATTATATTTTTAACTCGACGAAAACGCCAAAAAAACTCCGCTGCAACTCCGAAAATATTCGACAAAAACGCGAGGAAAACTCCATAGCGATTCCGAAAAAACTCGTCAAAAACTTTTCGAAAACTCCAATAATACACTTTTGTGACTCCGTGTCGTAACTACACACAATACTCCTTGCATACACCTCTAAAACTCCGCGTAAACTCAGCTTATACCCCGATTAAACTCCGAGAGAGAGTATACTCCGTAGTAACTCCGCGTAAACTCCGAGTTTACGCTGAGTCGTCGAAACTGCTAGGGAATATTAATATTCTTCATAATTGTGAATTGCATTAAATTGAACGGTTTGTCAATATTAAGTATATTAATATATCGCTAGTGATTACCAAAAATTTTTAAGATCATTTTTTTTTAAATAATTTTTTGGTTTAGAATAAAAAAAATTTTAAGATTTAAGAAATATATATGATTACATTAATGATTTTTTTTCATTAGTATTATTCATTTATAATGACTCGAAATAAATAAATAAATTTTAGATAAGAACATATCATAAAAATTAATTAAAGTAAACTTGAAGTACGACTACATTTATTTTTATGTACAGAATTATATAAACATACAAAATTATAAATCAAAATTGATATGTTGTTTTATCAAGATATTTACATGTAATTATTGAATTAGATAGAAGTATGCTTGTTATAATATATATAATTTTGTATTATTAATATATGAAATTATATATAAAAAATTTTTTCCTGGTAAAAATTACAAATAAGTTTTCCAAAAGAAAATATTCATTTTTCATTAAAAAATAAATATAATTTATTGTAATATTAAAAAATATTATTTCAACTTAACAATATTTGTTTCAAATTAAAATATACAAAAAATAAAAAGAAATGTGTAAAAGAATAAACAGATATTAGAAGCGTATACAAATCTGGATACCGACGAGGGGGTCTTACGAATTTAGTAACTAATGATAATAAAATTATTCCTAGTATCGATAAATAAAAAGCAATTTTTTTTATTGTAATAGTTCGATAATTTTTGGATAATTGCATGAAAAAAACGTTAGTTTTTAATTTAATGCTGTGCCACATTGTAAGTTTCTTAAATTTAGATTGATTTCTGTTTCTCGGTTCATTTCTTTTTTCGGGAACAAGATTCAATTGATCAAACCAAATCCAAAAATTCAGAATGTAGTAAAAACTCATTAAGCTTATAAACGCACCGAACAAACCATCTTTTATCAATAATGGCACTAAGCTGAAGCTTGAAACAATTAAAAACCAAAAACAAGGAAATGGATCGTAATAGAAATAAGTAAGAACTGGAATAGCGACTAACAGTATCGTTTTTTCGTGAACTTGAAATGAAAATAAGTAAAAACCTAAAGAAGTGTTGATTAATGATAATATCAATTTTTCGACTGATGCGTTTAAGTAAAGATCTATACTTGAAGGCAGCACGGATAATATGGTTGTAAAGAAGCAAATTTTAGCTAACTCTACATGGGAGAATAGTTCACGTAATTTAATAAAGATATTAATAGTACACCAGGCGTTAGCGACTTTATCTTCGAAAACTCCACGACTAAGCGGAAACAGTCTGGTAAATACATCAATAAATTTCATATCTTTAAAAAATGGTAACCAAATAATGCAAAACGTGGTAAGAACTGTGAGAGTTACACTTACGAACGTTTTTAAGCAGAATAAAATAGATTTGTTACGGAAAGGTGTGCATTTATTCAGAATAAAAAAGAAAATTGGAAGCGCGTGGTATAGCTCCATTTGCTTGTAATTTAAGGCTAGAACAAAGAAAAATGATCCAAATACTAACGATTTCTTAATTATTAGTCCTAGAGATAGTATGAAAAACCCTAGTGAAATCGAATTATACTGGAAATGCCCGTGATCAATCAGTATAAGTCCTGGATATAATAAAGTCGTTAACATCATAAGATGTGACTTTTTCAATCCAAGTATATTAATGAAATGGTTGCTTTTTGGCTCAAAAATAGGATATGGAAATAAGAATACTATCGCTGGGACGTAAATTATCATGTCAGCAATTAGAACAGACAGTCGCATGAATTGTTTGTGATCTGGAGACTCGTAACCTCGAGAATTGTGTAATTTAACGTAGTCTGGATTGATCGTATTCGCTATTTTTCCAAGGATCAAACTATGAAATGCTGTTAGCGGTGGATAGTCTAATCCCCAATATTGAAGATCATTATCAGTAGAATTAGAATACCATTGATCGACCGGCAAATTATACGTTATTTCTTGCCAATGACGTTGAGCTTCATAGTCTCCATACATAGGCGATTTGTTTTTGCCACTGTAGTCGTGGAACGTAACACACCATCTCAGGAATGTTGCTAAGCTAATAACCAATCCAAGTTGAATTTTTTCTCTCATTTTTCACAATCTTGTTTACTGAAAAAAATTGACACTAAATATTATACAATTCTTTATTCATTTAAACCATTATTAAATGATACTTACAATATGTGAGGAATTTAAGGCTAGTTAGTTTATTTAAATATAATCTTCACAATACGGCATTTTAATCCGAACTTTTTTTCTTATTCAATAGGTTGAATCTTAATAAAACTGAATTTAATTCAAAATTTTTTTTTCGTACGACGTGTTTATTTACACTGAGAAGCCACGTTGTGGCAGCAACAAACGTACTCGTTGTCACCATTATTAGCGCCACTTGTTACTAAGAGGTGAACTAAAATGTAGCTTACTGTGCGATAACCAACCAGATGGTAACTTAGCGTCAATTTATTGTTAGAACTTGGCATTAAATTAAAAGTTGATATGAAATAATTATATGATAGGATATATATATATATTTAGCAATGGATACAATTTTATTACATATATATATTCTAACCTACTGTTCATAAGTTTGAAACACGAGAAGATAATGGTTGAAAAGTTAGGAATTGA